TCACCATCATTTCGATCACAAACATCATCATCATGATCATCAGCATCATCGCCATCATCATCATAATCATCATCATCAGCATCATCATCCTCAGCATCAGCACCATCACCACCATCAGCATGTTCATCATCGTTCTGAGCATCATTACCATCATCATCATCATCATCAGCATCATCATCAGCATCATCCTCAAAGTCAGCATCACCATCATCATCATCGTCCTCATCATAAGGCAGCAGCATCAATATCACCACCACTATCATCAGCACCATAATCGTAACAATAATAATAATATTAATGATAATAATAATCATCCTTATCATTATCTGAGCAATCTTATCATCGAAGGCGTCGTCATCATCATCATCATCATCATCATCATCATCATCATTATCAACAACATCATCATCATTGGAATCGCCATAGCCATCAGCATCGTCATCAGTATCACCATCATCGTCATAATTAGCATCAGCATCGTTATCATCATCATCATCATGAACATTGTCGTCGGCATCGTCATCATCACCATCACTACCATCAGCATCAACCTCATCACCACCGCCGCCGTCTGCATCATCGCTAACACCAGCGTAACACTAATCATCATTCACATCATAATGTTCATTATCATCATCCTCATCCACCGTATCGTCCTCGTCATCTTCATCACAATCATCTTCAGCCCCCCACCATCATCATCAGTAGAGCATCACCACAAGCACAACCATTACCATCATCAGCATCACTACCAGCGTCATCATCGCCACCATTGTCATCACCATCACCAGCATCATCATCATCAGCAGCAGCAGCAGTATAATCATCGTACTCGTCTTCTCCATCGTCATCACCATTACCATCTCCATCACCATCAACGTAACCATCATCATCACAATCATCACCAACATTACCATCACCATCACCAACACCAGCATCATCACCACCACCACCACCACCACAACCACCATCATCATCATCATCATCATCATCATCATCATCATCATCATCATCATCATCATCATCATCATTACAATAATCATCATCATCATCACCATTACCAATCATCGTCACCATCACCATCACAATCACCATCACCATCACCATCACCATCAGCATCATCATCCTCATCATCATCATCAACAACAACATCACCATCATCATCACCACTGCCCGTTAGTATTGGACTTCTCCGCGGGCGTTGTCGCCCACGCGAACTGTCTCGGCTGCATGTCGCGGCTGGTCGGGAGCCCCGCGCAAGCCGCCTCTGAGCTAGTTTCATGCGCGGCTACCCCGTCGTTACCTCGCTGGCCGTGGGGGTGCGTAGATAGGCGCTGGTCAGGGGGGGGTGGACGGCTTGTTCAA